GGCGTTAGGAAACCAGCAGCTCTGACTGGAATCAGTGAGCTATTTCCTTCTGATTTCACTATGTTATTTGTCCTGATACCAAAACGTGTGCCTCAATGTGAAATTCTGCCATAAAGCTGAGAATACGTATGCAAAAGTATTTGCATGTCCTCAGTAGCATTTTCATTTGTACCCAGTAGCTGAGCGGCTCCTTGTATGTGGGACCTGTTCTGTTTGGAGCCCCATGTCTGCAGGTCATCGTGAAGAGAGAACAAAGGCAGAGTGCTTTTTTCTTTTTACTTCTATTTTTTCAACCTGTGATGTTCAATTTATGTAGGGGTCTTCAGGGTAGCTATTTCTTCCTCAGCCCCGTAATCACCTGGTGCAGCAAAGCAGTGAAGCAGTGGGGTCGCTGCCCTTGGAAACTCCTTTGCCTGGAAGGAGCGTGGCAGGTGGGATCAAAAAATCAACCAAATAACAATCTGATGTTCATGGCCCCGTGAGAGCTGTGGGTTGCTATCACATCTCACAGCTAACAGGAAAGTTTGAAGTAAGGTAACAGGGAAGATGTGACAGAATTGTCACTGTTGTCCCTGCCGGTCTCCTTTTCAGCTCAGAATGAAATGGAAGCTCGCTACACGATACGAATTTGCTGAGATCAATGAGGAATTTGATCAATGTATCTAATCTTTCTGCTTTGGTCTTTCTGCCTTCATAAGGCCAGGAACCTTATAAATAATTAGGTTTGGTGCTAGAGCGCATTAATATTATGAATGCATTCTATTTTTTATTTATTCCTTCCAGTTCAGTGGATGATGTATGGACTGTTCATATGAGGGAAAAGAATGTGATATAAGAAAATATTAAAACAAATGATACGTGCTTAGAAATACTGAGATTGATAGCAGAGATGTTAGTAAATCGTACCTTTTATTCAGTGAAATCTGCCCTTCTCACTATCTTTATAGCACCTAGCAAATAAACCAGAAATGAAGGCATCATTACTTGTGTCCATAGATACTGCAGTGAAATGGCTATAGAAGTGTCTGCTTTTAAGCTACATCTTTTTTTCCCTTGATTCATTTTTCATTTTCCTTTCTTTTTGTTGGGGTGGAGGGGTGGAGAGAAGGGTGGTAACAGCATGTTTTTAAGCAGACTCTGAAGATACAACAACTATATAGAATAGTTTCACAAGAGCAAGAGAACAAGTTGAATTTTTTTTTACAATGCTAAAAATATGATTTTGCCTTTATTTTTTTGGCACTGGGAAAGAAAAAAAAATGCTTTACAAACATATATATATATATATTATTATTATTATTATTATTATTATTGTTGATTTTTTTTCTTTTTTTTTGTGAAGCATGCATGCTGTAGAACATCAGTCAGGTCTAATGTGGTCAAATCCAGAGGTTCAGACTAGAGCAGCCTGATCCTCCCTGGGAGGACTGTACCAGTAAATACTCTGGAAGAAGGGGGTTGTTTCTGTAATACATTTTACTTTGCAGTGCCTGCCTGCCTGACCCTTTTATGTCTACAGTAAATGTAAAATGGCTTGCTGCAGTAGAGCATGCTCACATTTCTTGTGAGGTAAGAATATTCACTGTGGCAACCAGAGCGATGTAGGTGGGGTTTTATAATTTCACATTCTTACACTTTTTCCTGCTTAACCTTTCTACAGACTGTAGACCTATGAGACTTAAATGTATGTAGCACTACATAAAAACATCCTCCCGAGCAAGGGATCCTGTCAACTTCCTGAAGTTATCCATGGGAAGCAATAAATACTTGTGTTACTTTCCTCCTTTCTTCCTGTCCGTGCAATGGCAGCAGAAGGTCCATCCTGCTGTTGCAGGCAACACCTCTGCAGATGGAGCCTGCTCTTTGCACCATTTGTCAGATGCTTGCAGCAGCGTTTGCACTTAAGGCTTAAGGATTTGGAGAGTGGAGAAGATGGATTTAGAGAAAGAAAGCCAGCTGAGAGATGTGAGCACTTATTAGAGATCTTTCATATCAATTATCAAAGATGGCTCCAGTGAATTATAGCCACAGGCTTTCAGATAATAAGCCTTTCAGGAAAAAAATAATGAAACTAAGTGACACTCAGTTCTGAGTTCCACAACTGAGATGAATCATAATTCAGTGTTCTTTTTAAAACTTCCAGTATGGCTTGCAAATTTTTTTGGAAGGAATTGAGACTAAGCCCGGTAATAGTTAGCCATTTTAAATGCTTTTGGCCACTGCTTTACTTCTGGCATGTTCCTTTCCAGCTAGTTGCTGTCATTTCCATCTGCAATCCATAGCCTGCTGCTATCAAGGTCCAGGGACTGTCATCTCTTACTGTCAGTTTTTGGGCAGCTGTCTCTCATTGAAATTCATAGCGCTAGCAAAAGCCTCCTCTTCCAAGGAAGTGCTCCCTTCCAAGTCAATACAAATGGTTTAACAAGCAGAGAATCTGTCTGCATTCTCCTTTTTCCATTCCCCGTTCATCCTTTGAAACATGAACCTTAAAAAAAATCAACCCAGGTGTTTGGAGTGGTGGTTCAGTATTGTTTCCTGCAGGTTGGCATAAAATATGTAATTTTCATCTGGTGGTCATAGGGGATAATGTGAAGAGAGCACTTCGTGTTTCATGATTGCTTCAAATGCAAGGCAAAATTTTGGAAAAATACCCACTGTTAGTATTTCTTTAGCAATTCTTTGTCACAGTAGTACTTTGTTTCAGATTGATTCCCCCGTCCACAATCAGTGATTCTTTTTGCCTATGTTTAGATCACAAAGAATGTATTTCACCAGTGAGGTTCTCCTGCAGCAACTAGTGATTGTGCTGGTGTTCATCTGGATCCTCTTGTTGTCTTCTGCCAGTGTTTAAGCCATTCTTCTAGGCAGTACATGCTGTCTTTGTATGTATCCCGTTTACTTCATGTTGTTCAGCAAATCAAGTGAAGGTTAGTAGTTGAATAGAAACTTCTCCTGCCAACCAAATACTGTACAGCAGCCGATGATACAGGTGATAAAAAGAGTTGGAGAGGAGAGTACAGCTGGAAAGGCTTTGGAAGCTGTGAAAAGGACAGGGCAGGCAATGCATGACCTGGGCCTGAGGGATGACTGAATACTGCAGAAGAGTTTTGTTCAGACAAAGATGTTGTGATACGGTGTATACAATTATGAATGACCCAGACAACAGGAATTATAAAATGGATGTTTGTGACCTCTTCCAATATGAGAATAAATAGAATGTCTGTTGGGCTTCTAAGCAAAGTGAAGAATAGAGTAGTCTTCAGTTAAAGGTCACTTTACCTTTGTTATACACAACAAGACTTTACTAGGTTCAAGAAGTGGATCTGATCCAGTACAGTCATTTGTGTATTCCTGACATCCACTATTTATTGGCTTTGAAAGTACAAATCTTGTCATAAAGAAACCCTGTCTTTTCTTCTCCTGTGTCCACGATCAAACTCTGCTGTTGTTTCTTCTCTGTGTTTACTTGCATCTATTTTAGATGATACTGAAATATAAAATGAGCCCTCCCCATCAAAGAACTCCAGGTACGATGAGATTTTATTATTTTGCAGTACAACTTTCACAGGGTTCTCATGCCTGTGTTCCATTTGGGGTCCATTGTGCATATCAGCTACAATTGCACAGATCCCATTCAGGTTATGTTCTGCTGTATAAGCGTTTCAAAAATGGTGCTTTATTTCAAGAGGAACACCAACAATATTATATAATTTTATTTAAGTTACTGGCCTACATCAGTATGACTTGCAGAATTCTGCCTGAGAACATGTTGTGAGATCTTTGTACGAGAGAAATGATTGTTTATTTCTCTACTCTTAGAATCCATCATATTTTTTGTTTTAATTTTCAAGTATCATAGGCACTATGATCCCCCGAAGCCACAGTTTTCTCCTTTGTTGTGTTCTAAAAACCAGTACAAGTATACATAGGGTCCCGTTGCAGATTGTGAGAAGTACTTTCGAGTTGTATCAAGGGAGTCTCTGCCCTTTGAGGCTTTTGATATGTTTTCTCTACTGCTTTCTTTAATGCAGGCATCTTAGTAATGCTTGAAGTGATTCAAAACCTACAGTTTTGTGTTGCTATTACTAAAAACTAATGGCAGAGTCTCCAGGATAGGTTTCCATACAACACAGATGTATTTCAAAGTGTAAAATATTTATATTTTACAGTGTTAGCTGCAGCTGGGGCTTCAGCATGCAGTTCTAAGACTTGTCAAAAGCAGAAAAGCAGGAGGCTTTTCACTGAAGTCGACATGTTTAATGTGTAACTGGTGCTCAACTAATTTGAGATGACAGACCATTTCCATGCTCTTTCAGAACTTGCCATGTTGTCATCAATGCATTCAGGAAAGGAAAAATATTGCTTGTATAGTACTTGTTCATAAGTAATAAGCAAGGTTGTTTTAAATGCTTTTGCTAAAGTATGGTAAATGGAGATGTGGGTCTTTCCTTCTAATGCTGGATGACAGAGCTTTGGAAGATATTCATTAACTCTCAGCTACGAAAGAACTCATCATGTTCTCATGTGTTTCTGTGCTCAGAGAGGCACAGTTGAGGTTTTTCATTTCCTTTTTTAAGAAGCACGCTTCATTGTGAAAGTCTGCTAACTCAATTATTGGAGTTTGTGTCTTTGTGATCATTCTGCTTAGGCATGTCACCTCCCAGGTCATCTGAACAGCGAGTCTTTGGTAGAAACTAACTGGAAAATAACCTTCAGCACGATAAATATTTGTATTTGGAAAGGACCTGAGGAAATCCATCTGTAGTCTAATGTCTGACAGAGCCCTGAGGGGAGCAGGCAACTGAATAGCAAATTGAAGTGTGCAAATCCTGAGCCTCTCAGCAGATACAGTAAATATGTGCAATGTAACACAGCAAATATGCGAAGGCTTTTAGTTATGGGAGTGTGTAAATGTTTACAAATATGATTAACTGCAAAGCACAAAATCCATTCGCAGCATCAGAGGAATATACTAAAATTGCTTTTCCATTCCCCCCCAGGATTATGCTGAAAAGAAAAACACGATAGCAAAAGCCCTGGAAGATCTGAAAGCCAACTTCTACTGTGCTCTCTGTGACAAGCAGTACTATAAACACCAGGAGTTTGACAATCACATTAACTCGTACGATCACGCTCACAAGCAGGTAAGAGGAATCTTCTCACTATTTAAACTTCGTTCCAGCAAGAATGTTGACATTTTTGGTTTCAGTGTCCTTCGGGATGGCTTGAAAATCACAGTCATCAGATTTCAGATTCTGGAAAAAAGCAGGCAGTTTTCATAGGAACAAGTTGTAAGTGTTTCACAGCCACAAATTCTGAAACATAAGGAGTGGGGAATTCTCTAAAGGAAATGCAAACAGTTAAATGGTAAAAAGGAACAAGAAATGACAAAAAAAAAAAAAAAAGTAAATGTAGAATTCACTTGTCCTCAGTTTAATTTTGCATGTCAGTAAGTACAGTGGTATATTTAGGAGATTACAGGGAAGCATTTGTGTTGGAACAGGTGCGGATAAGAAGCTTGGCATATTTTTTGGTAAACTTTCTTTTCAGAGCTGCATCTGTGTGAAATGGGCTATAATTTTCCTTAAACGTGCTGAGTTTAAAAAGCCTTCGTAATGAAAAGTTTCTGGCTCAGTCCACAGTGAAATGTGTGTTAGGTGTTAAACATTGGAATTTATAGTTTTACTGCCACATTTTGTCACTGCACCTCCAAGTCCCGTATCCTGCTTTTGTAGCATAAAAGGAAGAGGCAATGCAGTTGTCTCACAAGGCAGCAGCATGCCACTGCAGCCTCATGGTCTGCAGAGTGGTCAGCAATGTACTGGTTGATGTTGCCAAAAGGATACGTAATGGTACAACCATACAGGAAGTTTCCACTTAGTCCAATTAGCTGGTAATTATCCTTTATCTTTGTTTTTATCTGGTGCAGCCATAAGGTTCTGGATAAGAATCGATTGCTTTTCATTCTAATTGAATCTCCTGCAGTTTCTTTCAGATGCTATCAGCTTTAGATTTTGTGAGTTTTAGATTCATTGTTGAGAACTACAAAGCTGCAGACCTCATCAGCTGTAGGAATGTATGAGAAACTGGAGGGAAAGCTATATTAGAAATTAGAAGGAACTTCATTGCATCCTGGAGATGCTTATTATGAGTTGTAAATATTTTGACTTGAAATACAGCTGGAACTGGTCCTTCAGGCACCATCACACAATATCACCTCATTTATGGAAGGCAGGGGAAAAAGTGATGGGCAGACTCTTCCCCACGTGAACTCTCTTAGGAATTTCAGGCTACTCTGAAACACTTCCAAATAATGAGAACCTGAAGATTGCAGTAATTGCTCCTCTACCTATTCAGTATTGATGAAAATGTACTTTGAAACTGAGGTCAGGTATTACTTCAGTGTTTCACACGGCTGCTTCTCTTTTTAATTGCTTTAGACAGGAGATGCTGGCACTGCAGCAGCAGCATTTGGAGGAGTGTGGCAGTTCCTGTACCTTTTGAGTGGTGTCTTGGGGTGTCAGTGTTTGCATGTGTCATCTTAGCTGGTGAAATTCAGTAAACCACCCTCTTCCTATGTCAGATAATCACAACTCCCCTCTTTTTGGTGGGAAATCAGACAAAGGTGGCCACTTCTCCAGCAGGACAAGTTGTATGGGTGCTTGTTTGGACAAAGAGAACATTTTCTGTAATATTGTTAGAAAATAAGGCTATCAATTCCTGAGTTAAGATGTTAAGTCAGGTTTAACCCTTCTGGAGCATTTTCTTTTGTGGCTTTGATTGCTGTTACAAAAGCTAGTCTTTCCTCTTCCTGTATTTCAGTGAAAAAGGAGGCAGGCAGCAAATGGCTGCAGTGTGGCCTCTCTCTGATTTTCAAGGGTTTAACACCAAGTCTCTATTTGTGAGCAACCTCATTCTGCTAGAGCCATTTGCAGATGCTGCTGTAAGGATACTCTGATTTTGCTGTGGACATTCCTAACTCAGTGGCAGAAGTTTTCCAGCAGTTTACTGTGGGAGATGAACAGATGATCTGGGTTTTGCCTCTTACTTTTCTCTAACTTTCCCATTCAGTCACACATTTCTACTAATAGTGAGCAGGTAGGGGGAAGTGCTTATTAAAAAAATGAAAGTTTCCTGTGCTCCCAGAATAACTTTAACATGCAGTCAGTTCTGTTTTTCTGCTCCCAGCACAGTGTCCCTCATATAATCAAGTGGCTGAAATCTCTGTCCACCTGATTTCATCCCAGCCTTTCTGAAAAGCCTTATTTAATCCTAACCAAGCATTCTGTTGTCACGCATGTCAGCCATGCAGTAGTTCCTCAGAGAAAGTGTTCATCACATCTGTATCTCAATTTTAGTGTCCTTATTTTTCTAAAAATTCACAGATTTCTAGCACAGTAAATAACCAGGATTAAAATACAAAACTTAATAATAAACTGTAAAATTGCCTTTTGGATTGGGAACCCCATGCTGCCAGGAATTGCTTGTGCTTTGATTTGTTGTCTAATATCGCTTCTGCACTCATATAGATCCATCCAACCAGACCAGAAATAAAGGATAGGGCAAAATTAATTTTATTGCCTAGAAGCTGGAGGAGTTCAGACCAGTATGTAGGGTTCTGCACATGCCTCCTTCCCTCTTTCAGTGCTTTCTTGGTCTTAGATTTGACAGTATGGTTGGGAGACTAATATCTCCAGCCTTTAAGAAATACTCCTGGAAAAGCAACTTGAAAAGTGGTAATGAAGAAGAATGAACTTCTCTGTTTGCTTTGAAAGCCTGGACCAAAAGAAAATAAAATTGAATATAGGTGTCTTTATATTGCTCTGGGCCCAATTTGGATAGAAATGTGACAAAGGCTGAACCTGTATTATCCAGTCTACTAATGAGAGAATTCCTATTTGATAATGGTGATCTAAAATAATGGATTGCGGTTTTGAGACCCATCTGAAGACTCAAAAGCATCTGTATGATTTTATGCATTTTCTTAAGCATTTGGAAGCATACAAAGAGCTTTCTGAAGTGCTGTATTCACACAGGATAGGAAAAAAATGCTGCCCATGCTTCTTGAAATGCTGCTGTTTTGATAAACGTGGCAGAGCAGTGAGTGTAAAGCTGTGAATGACCTTCGTCTTTTCGTAGCCCTTCGGAGGCAATGAGTTGTTTTGTCCTGTCGGCGGATCACACAGCTGGGTTTCCTGCATCCATCATTCCTCAAGAGGCTTGTTGCTGCCAGAACAAAGTGCTTTTATTCTTGAATGTGAAAGTCTTCCTCTCCATCCCAGACCTGATTTATCACCTAACATCATGGCAGCACACCCGGGTTTGATGTACTTTCCTCTCCCTGCACTGTTTTTCTATGTATCAGAACAAAAATGCTGCTCTGAAAGAGTCCCAGTGTGTTTGCATCTACGTATGCAAATACAATCAGTTAAGTAAATTTTTAGCAGGAAACTTTTCCCACAGAATCAGAGGTCGTGTTGCAAACTCTCTCCCTGTATGAAAATGTTCTTCTCGCTCTAAAAATGTATTTAAAATTTTATGGAGGTACTAAAGTAGAAATTATGGAGGAAGACTAAATTACTAGACACCATTGTTTTGTATCTCAGCCACAGTGTACATCTTTCTTTACTCATTTTTCTTCTTTGCACAGTTTTAGAGGTTAATACCAAGAAGATCGGAGGACATTAATCTGCAGCCCATCAGAAATCTGACCTTTGATCATCTTGAGTGCATGATCCTCACAATAGATGTTCCATTTGCCTATGCAACACGTGTAGCTCTCTTCAGTTGTATGGAAATTTCAGATAGGAAATCCCAAACAAAAGCTGCTTGAAAGAATGTCTTAGTTCTTGGAGTGCTCATGGGGACCACAGGAAATGGGGCGGGTGGATGGTTGGCAGTGGAAGCGGTGTCCTGGTAAAGAGTGATCTTAATATGCCTCGCTGTTCTTTATTCTCTGTAACTTCAAAAAACAGAAGTACCTGACAGAAATAGGGCTTTTTTGTCCCTTAGTTGGCCAGCGTTCCCATCTGTTTGTGTTGGGTTAGGAAGAACGTAATTTAAATAGGTGAAAACATGGATTGCAGCAGCTCAGTCCCCTCAGCTACTGAAAAGAAAGATGTTTACTGGGAGGCAGTAGTATTTTAAGTTGCTTTGTCGAGGCTGCTCTTTGCAGGCTGAGTTGCACTGAAGTTATTTGGATCAGACTAAGACAACACATTATATACCATCTTAGAAGCACAGAAACAATAATTCTCCAGAAGATGTCTTCTTCCAGAGCAATGTGTCAAAAAAGAGCTTTATTCTAGTACAGAACAAAGCCTTAAGAGCTTCAAGAGACATTCTTAGGAGTTACTCACAAGCAAAACAAGCATGTTATATGTATGTGACAAAACTCGTTGCTGCTGGCGGTAGCAGTGCGTTTGCTTGGATCGTAGTGCACACTGAGCCCAGCCAGAAGGAGATGTTTAAGATAGCAGAGCAGACAAGAAGGTCATGGGGGAGTGTTCATGGCTATCAACATCCCCGAGTGATGAAAGAAATCCCTTCTTTGATCACCTGCTGGGCCCACATGGAACAGAAGAAGGCTTGGATCTCCAGGTGCCAACCCAGTGGTCTGGGGGCTGAGGAACAAAGCCCCTTTCCTGCAGCACTTAGTGCAATATCTTTTCCTTTCCTTGCGAGTGCAGTACGTTGCTTGTGCTTTCTCTGCTGCGTGCCCAATGAACCATCAGTCTGGGAATCAGTCAGGATTCTCGTGGCCAGACTTCCAGGAATGGAGAAATTTTGTGTTTCTTCCCTTAGTTCAGCTGTTCTCTCAGGTGAGAAGACAGTGATATCTCTGTGTGCCTTTATGGGCAATCTTAACTTTTCTCAAAGTGGAGCAGGCATAAAATAGGATTAAAATGATTTTACTTGAGTATTTGGCTCTTTCTAAATGTTATTTCCCACTCACAGAACATACTTTTTCATTTTTGCCTGGATTGAATTTTTTCCCTTAGGAAAAGATGCTTATCTTTTCATTTCTTTTTAAGTATGAAGGGAACACCAACAGACATTCATCTGTGTGTTCTTATAGATACATGTGCATTTGGAGCCCACACACAACCACAAAACACCTCCTCCTTTTCCAGAAATAGGAACA